TGCACAGCTCATCTACCAGCAGGTTAATTGGAATGACTTCATTACAAAAATGGCGCCCAACGTGGGGCCCTGAAAAGAAAGCTTAAGGGGTATCCCATCAATCATTCAGAATTTTACCAGACGTATTTATGTGTATGGAATTGGTTTTAATGAGTAAATATTTTTACTGGCCAACCGACTCATATTGCTTCTACTTAATTTTTTTTTATTTGTTGTGGATATTAGAGTTTTGGAATTAGCCCAAAAAGAGGGTTTATTTAAGCAACCAGCTTTGAATGTCAACAATATTTTAATTTTTTTTTCATATCTAAAGGATTTTATTTGGAATTATTACTTGCGGATGACTATCTACATTAATAACCCGTAAGATTCCTTTAAATACGCAACATTTTGGGGGAATTTGGTTCAGTCTTAGAGGAAAATCGAATGCTTTCATATTCTGGAAGGTGATTCCCAAGGACCCGAATCAGTTAAATGCAAAGCTACTCTTAGTTTTGTACTTCTTTACATCCGAAAATCTAGATCAACCCTATTACTCCTTGTCACAGATCTAAGGCAATAAATCATGATCCCACAGTACTTACAAAAATAAATTTAATTTTATAAATTATAACCTCAATTATTCACACTGGTTAATAGTATGATTATTTTTATACCTCACTAACTTGGATAGAATCATAAATAGGCAGAACCTGCATTGTATTTGTTATACATAGTATCACGTTTTTTTTTGATTTTTTTTTGCTATTGGAACTATGTCGGTTCTACACAGTAACGAGAACTTGCATCAGCTTCAGAATATGACTTCAGCGTGTGGGTTATGCAAGGAAGAAGTTTCAGAAAACAATCTTTTAGTGACTCCTTGCCAGCATAACTTCCACCGATTATGTATTTCCGGCTGGCTAAATGAAAACGAGTCGTGTCCAATATGTCATCGCGGCTTGGATACTCAGTCAATAAAGAGTTTTGCTGAACAAGAACAAGTAGAGGGATTTGCAAATCAAGGTGCTAGGCCAAAGGAAAATCCACCGGGGGTTTTAACTCGGTCTAGAAACCAAAATAACTCATTTAACGCAAACTTGAATCGCAGCAGAGGTCGTGGTCGACAGAATAACAATACAAATGGGGCTAATCGTAGTCAAATTCAAAGTATTATACAGGAGAATTTACATAACTTTGAAGATCAGTTCTCGAGACAAATACACGGAGAAATTGGTAGACTAGTCTCAGAATCCCTTGACGCTTATTTTCAGAATTTAAGAGTGACTGAGACGCGTAACCTCGTACAGGTGGCGGACAGAATGAATCGATCAAATGTAAATAATGTGAATAACGCGGACGCCTCAAACCAAGATCCTAATGTGTTGCATAGTTCAGGGCGATTTCGCGAGGATTCTGGTATGATATCTCAATCTGTTTCTAGTAAGATTATTTCTGGTTGGAAGCTTAGTTTCGATGGGTCTCTGACTAGTGTACCTGTGGATGAATTTATTTACCGGGTGAATGCTCTTACCAATACCACGTTAAGAGGAGATTACCATTCGTTGTGCCAAAATGTCCACATTCTTTTTGAAGGGAAAGCTAAGAGATGGTTTTGGCGATACCACCACTCAGTACGTGAGTTAGATTGGGTGGATATCTGCGAGGATTTGCGCAAAAATTTCAAAGATTTCCGTACAGACTTTGAGATTAAAGAATCTATTCGGAACTTAAAACAAAAATCTGGTGAATCTTTCGAAAACTACCTCGATCACATTTTATCTACTGCTGATAGTTTAAAACATCCTTTATCCGATCGTGAAATGGTGGAGATTGTTCTAAGGAATTTGCAGCCTGAAATTCGGTTGGAGCTTTTACATCTCGAGCTAAATTCCATATCCGATCTTCGAAAGGCATGTCGCCGAAGAGAGAATTTGGTCGCAGAAATGCAAAGTAAACCACAGTTCCAAAAATTAAATAATCAATTTCGTAGGAACGTATCCGAAGTAGACATTGAGGAAGAAGGAGCTTTTAAGGAAGAAATTATCGCAGGCGTTACAACGAATGGAGCTTCGGCTGAGAGAAAGTGCTGGAATTGTGATGGTATTGGTCATAATTACAAGAATTGTGTCAAACCGCGCAGAGTATTTTGCTACGGATGTGGGCTAGTGGCTTTTTTCCTACCGAATTGCCCGAAGTGCAATAATCCGGAAAACGCGATCCGGGATGTCAGCAACAAGCTTCGACATCCCAGCAAGAAATCGGATCCAAAGGAATAGTTGAGAAATTTACCGTTTTAAAGAACCCAAATTCAGTTCCAAAACAACCAAATCTTTTCCCTGTAGTACCTTTTCATGAACGTCTAATAGCTTATCAAAAATCCCGAGAGAAAATTTTTATGCCAGCTCGTTCAGTTAAACGTGCTAAGCATTATTGGAGTATCATTAAAGAAAAACAAATGAAATTGAAATCGGTGTCATCCATTTTTCACAAACCTAACGACATACGACCATATGCTTCCGTCCAACTCATGGGAAAAACTAAACTAGGACTTCTTGACTCAGGAGCGTCTGTAAGTTGTATAGGAGGCGCATTGGCAAGAGAAGTTTTAGACACCAAACCAGGTGTTAAGAAACTTACTACTAGTGTACATACAGCCGACGGTTCAAGACAAGAAATATCAGGAGTTGTGTCCTTACAGGTGACTTACAAAAACGAAAACAAAATGATTGAATTTTACATAGTCCCTAACTTGGTACAAGAAATCTATCTTGGAGTAGACTTTTGGAAGACTTTTAATATCGCTAATACCATAATAAGCGAAGTTCAGGTACAAGAGATAGATACCACACTACACAAGTTGGACGAAGAAAAAAAATATAAGCTTCAACAGGCGATCTCATGCTTCCCGAGTTTCGAACGAAAAGGGCTGGGGAAAACTTCCTTAGCTGAACATATTATTGACGTGGGTAACGCAAAGCCTATCAAACAAAGGCACTTCCCCGTATCTCCGGCAGTGGAGAAACTCATGGGGGAAGAGATCGATAGAATGGTGGATTTAGGGGTTATTGAAGAGTCCAGTAGTCCATGGTCATCTCCGGTTGTACTTGTGCGTAAGCCAGGTAAAGTGCGTTTATGTTTGGATAGCCGGAAGGTCAATGCGGTAACCGTCAAAGACGCGTATCCACTCCCGCACATTGAGGGAATACTGTCTAGACTGCCTCGAGCGGAATTCATTTCGAGCTTGGACTTGAAGGATGCTTTCTGGCAAATACCTCTCGAAAAGGATTCTCGTGAAAAAAACGGCATTTACGGTACCAAACAGACCACCTTATCAATATACCGTAATGCCTTTTGGGCTTTGTAACGCTCCCCAAACCATGTGCAGATTGATGGACCGCGTAATACCTTATAATCTAAAAGAGAAAGTATTCGTCTATCTGGACGACTTATTGTTAGTTTCCGAAAGTTTCGAATCACATTTAGCTCTTTTGAGGGAAGTTGCTGACCACATTACTAAAGCAGGATTAACAATAAACATTGCGAAAAGTAAATTTTGTATGACTGAAGTTCGATATCTCGGATATATAGTGGGATTAGGAACTTTAAAAACAGATCCAGAAAAGGTGTCAGCGATTGCTGACTATCCGGTCCCTAAGTCAGTAAAACAGCTTCGCAGGTTTCTTGGTATGGCCGGGTGGTACCGTCGCTTCGTTCCCAACTTTGCTGAGATTTCGCATCCGCTTACTGAACTCCTAAAAAAGTCAAAATCCTTTGCATGGTCTGAAAGCGCTCAAACATCGTTTGACTCGATAAAAGCTCTGTTGACATCGGCACCCTTTTTAGCGAATCCAGACTTTAAGAAACCATTTTTAATACAATGCGATGCAAGCTCACACGGAATAGGCGCTGTGCTAGCACAAAAAGATGACCATGGCGAAGAGATCCCGATAGCGTACATGTCGCAAAAGCTAAATAGAGCACAACAAAATTACTCGGTCACAGAAAGAGAATGTCTGGCGGCAGTTTTAGCCATAAAGAAATTTAGAGCGTATGTTGAGGGTCAACCATTCACGGTGATAACCGATCATGCAAGTCTGCGCTGGCTAATGAATCAAAGTGACCTCAGCGGACGTTTAGCTCGGTGGGCTCTAAAATTCCAGTCATTCGATTTCAATATTGAGCACCGAAAAGGCAGTGCTAATGTGGTTCCCGACGTGCTTTCTCGCATACATTCGGAAGACTCACAAGTATCAGCAATTTCTGTTGAGTATTTTCCAGTCATAGATATAAACTCCAATGCATTCCATGATACGGAATATGTGGAACTTAGAGGAAAATTGGACGCGCAAGCGGACAAGTTTCCCGATTTTAAGGTATCCGGAAAATTCGTTTACCACAGAACCGAATTTTACACAGGCGATCCTGAAAAAAGAAAATGCTTCGTGGAAACTTCTAGTACCCAAATCACTTAGGCTTGAAGTTATCAGAAATGCGCATGATATTCCAACTAGTGCTCATGGAGGGATATCGAAAACTGTTGAACGAATACGTAGACACTTGTACTGGCCTGGATTGTTTAAAGATGTTACCGAATACGTTGGTAATTGCGAAGTATGCAAAACAACAAAACATCCTACCAAAGTCTTGCGTCCACCCATGGGGAAATGTGTATCAGTTGAAAGAATTTTTCAGAGGTTATATGTTGACATAATAGGGCCTTTCCCAAGGTCGAAAAAAGGTCACATAGGTATATTAATAGTTCTTGATCACATGTCAAAGTTCACTTTTCTTTGTCCGCTGAAAAAACTTCAATCATCTCCAATAATAAACTTTTTGAAAGTAGAAATTTTTGACGTTTTTGGGGTACCGGAGTACATTGTGAGTGACAACGGAAGTCAGTTCAAGGCCAAAGATTTTGAAGCCTTTCTTACCAAATGCGGAGTAAAGCACATTTTTACAGCCTTACATTCACCCCAAAGCAACTCTTCTGAAAGAGTCAATAGGTCAATTAATGCTGCCTTGAGGTCATATATAAAAAATGATCAACGCGAATGGGACTGTCATCTCAGCAGTATCAACGCAGCTCTTCGTAACTCAATTCATCAATCCACCGGATATAGTCCATACTTCGTCGTTTTTGGGCAGCATATGGTTAATCATGGGGATAACTACTCCCTTTTACGTAACTTAGGCATGACGTCTGAGGGCATGGTGGAGTCCAGCACTCGTTTTGACAACCTATTAGCGGTAAGAGATAACGTAAGATCTAACCTAACTAAAGCCCGTGAACGCAATGAACGCCATTATAATTTAAGGTCACGGGAAATTAAATACAAAGAGGGTCAGGAAGTATTACGTAGAAATTTCGCACAAAGTAATATGAGCAAATCCTACAACGCGAAGTTAGATAAAACCTTTCTCAGGGCAAGGGTTCGAGAAACGCTGGGATCGTCATACTATGTTCTGGAAGACCAAAACGGTAAATCGATAGGCACCTTCCACGCAAAGGACATGCAACCTTATTGAACCATCGCCTTTTTCAGATGTTTTCGACAAGTCGCTTTCTGAAGGATCCTGCGAAAACACCTGCTTTGTGAGCGCGATGTCGGTAGATTCGTGAATAAAACGCGGCTAACTACACTCAAATGCAACCCTAGGTAATGGCAAATGAGTGGCGTTGACAGTATAAGACCACGGATAATCTGTCTACATTCTCGCAAGTGTCAACCTCTACTTCCGCTGAGGGGATTCTTTTCTTTCTTTTGGATGCAGCTTGTCTACGAGTCGGACGTGATAAATTGAAGTAGCAAAAAAAAAAATAAAAATTAAATTAAATCTAATAATCAACAGCATTCGCGGTCGTTAAATATATACATGTAATTCTCTTAAGAATAATTCTGAAATATTATATACTTTGCAAATAAATAAAGTCAATTAATTGATTTACGCGATTGAGACCGATTTTTTTGGTGTACATGCGGGCAAGTTCGTGGATTAATCGAGTCGCAGTCACGTTTTGGACGAATCCATACGTAACCTGGAGGCAGCAATTGGCTACGTTGGGTATCCAGAGGACCTAACTAAAACCCATCAAGAGAGCAAGATAATATGTCGTTTTCAATATATACATATATATATAGATAAGAAAGGTTACAAAGGTAGAATAGTGTATACTTTACTTTTGGAATTGCTGAAAGAAAGTAGTAAAGATTCACCAGCTAATTGCGGGCTTCTGTCTCTCTATTTTTACGGTCTTTTTGGACGCTGGGCCTTTTGTTGCATATTTCAGCCAAGGAGACATTTCTATAATTTGATAATACTTCATTTTGTATAACTACTATACTTGAATGTACATAAGAAAAGGCTATTCCATTTAGTATCTAAGCATTGATTGCATAACGGGGCATTCCCGATCTAATAAAATATTTATTCAATATGTGCCTGTGTAAATATCGACACTAACAAATTAAGAACAACCAAGCGAATGGGTTGAATTGCACTATCCATTTTTTTTGTATATTTTAAGCACTTAAAATCTCTGTCAAATAATAATAAAAAAAAAAAAAAACAAAAAAAAAAAAAAAAAA